GGCTTGGTTCAGGTGTACCTTAGTCCTCAAAGTGAGATCTTTGCTCTTTAATACTTTAAAGAGCTCTTTTGCAGCAAACTTTCCTAATGCAATACGTCATTTGAATTTTTTGTTGTGAACTGAGTGAAGGTTTATAGAACAGATTATTAGTTTTACATTTAACAAATCATTTACTTAATTCCATTGCATTGATAACAAGCCCCAATATGTATCATCAGTTAACAGTATTTGCCTCCAACTGGGCTGCCAAAAGAACCAATGGATCCATTTTGGAAGAAGTGCAGCCAGAGTGCTCCTTGGAGGCCAAGGTGACCAAACTTCTTGTCTCATACTTCGGACATATTTTCAGGAGGGACCAGTCGCTGGAGAAGGATATCACGTTTGGTAAAGTGGAGGGTCAGAGAAAAAGAGGAAGAGCCCCAACAAGATGGATTAGCCAAATGGCAGCATCGATGGACTCAAGCACAGCAACAGTGGCGAGGTTGGCCCAGGATCAGGCAGTGTTTCATTCTGTTGTGTGTAAGGTCGCTATGGGTTGGTACCGACTCGATGGCACCTAACAACAACAACAACCTGCATTCCTTCCCGTGTCTTCCGTTGCTTTCATCTCTCCTCTGACAACCTCCCTCTTGTTTTATATTGCCTTTGTTTGATTTCTTGACTGCTGCTTCCATGGGCATTAATTGTGAATCTAAGTAAAATAAAGTCTTGGACAACTTCAATCTGTTCTCTGTTTTTACTGTTATTTATTGGTCCAGTTGTGAGAAATTTTTCTTTACACTGGGGTGCAATCCATAGTGAAGGCTGTGGTCTTTGATCTTCATCAGTAAGTACTTTATAAGTCCTGTTCGCTTCAAGCAACCAAAGTTGTATCATCTGCATACCGCAGGTTGTTAATGAGTCTTCCTCCATTTCTGATGCCACGTTCTTCTTATATTCCACCTCTCGGATTATTGTTCTGCATACAGATTGAACAAGGACGGTGAAAGGATACAACCCTGGCATGCACACCTTTCCTGATGTTAAGCCATTCAGTAGTGTACTGTTAGTCTGTGTACAGGTTCCTCATGTGCACAGTTATGTGTTCTGGAGTACCATATGTTTGCCATGTTCTCAATAGTTTGTCATGATCCTCACAGTTGAATGCTTTTGCATAGTCAGTAAAGCTCAAATAAACATCATTCTGGTATTCTTTGCTTTCAGCCAACATCCATTTGACGTCAGTGATAGCCCTCATTCCATGTCTTCTTCTGAATTCAACTTGAATTTCTGGCAGCTCCCTGTTGATGTACTGATGCAATTGTTAATGATTATCTTCAGCAATATTTTACTTGTATTCCATTGGTGGTTCACCTTTCTTTGGAATGGGTACAAATATGGATCTCTTCCAATTGATTGGCCAGGTACCTGTCTTCCAAATTTCTTGGCATAGATGAGTGAGCACCTCCAGTGCTGTATCAGTTTGTTGGAGCATTTCAATTTGTATTCCATCAATTCCTGGAGCCTTGTTTTTCTCTCCAGTACCTTTTCACTCAATATCAATGATTCTTGATCATATAGTACCTCTTGAAATAGTTAAACATCAGCCTGTTCTTTTTGGTACAGTGTCTGTGTATATTTCTTCCATCTTCTTTTGATGCGTCTTGCGTCATTCAATATTTTGTCCATAGAATTCTTCAATGTTGCAATTTTTTCTTCATGTCTTTCATCTTGAGAAATACTGAGCATGTTCTTCCTTTTTGTTTGTTTTTTTTCTAACTCCAGGTCTTTGCACATTTCATTAGTATGTTATGGACATCTTTATCATATTTACATTTAATTTATTATAGATTTTTATATTATAGCATTTTATATTTTATATATAATTTTAGCAAGTAATTTTGCATATATTATTCAGTTCAGAGGAAACTTCTATTATCTTTTAATTCCATTTTCCATGACGTTTTTTTAAGATTCCTTGCAGAATTTTACATATAATTTCTTTTATATATTTTAATGGCAGTATGGTATTCCATTATTTGAGGAGTGATATCATGTTTGGTGAGGTGGAGGGTCAGAGAAAAAGAGGAAGACCCCAGCAAGATGGATTGGCAAAGTGGCATCATCAGTGGGCTCAAGCGTGGCAGCAATTGTGAGGTTGGCCCAGGACCAGGCAGTGCTTCGTTCTGTTGTGCATAGGATTGCTATGAGTTGGTACCGACTTGATGGCACCTAACACCAACAACAATAATTAAATCACTTTCAACATTCCCTGTTTTAGGACATTTGTGTTGTTTTTATTTCCTCGCAGTTATAAAGATCCATTTCGGTTTAAAAAGCTCTTTAGTGACTAGCACAGTAGTAATTTCTTTGTGCCTCTGACTGTCCCCTTAAAGGAAATTCCTGAAAGAATAATTCTTGGGACAGATGTCATATAAAACACCAATTCATTTGGTATATATTATTAACTTTCCCTTAAAAAGTTACATTATGAATAATTTCACCAGCAATATATGACAATGACTATTTCTTCAGATTCTGAACAGCATTGGGTATTACTATTTTTCTGACATTAGAATGCAATCTAAATTTCTTGACCATCTTGTAATGCCTTCCATATCTGTACCTCCCCCACCCCAACACCTCTGTCGATTTTCTTGCTTGCACATCTTATTCTAGCTGGGGTGCAGTGACATTCTTTTCAGTACTGAACTTGACTAATTCTTTCATGCACCCAGACTTTGTGTCTGCCATTTATCATTTATTTCATTTTCAGGTTACAGTCTCACTTACTTCTGGAGGTCTGTTTGTTGTGAAGTGCCATTGGGTCAGTTCCGATTCATAGCGACCCTGTATAGGGTTTCTGAGAAGCAGCTAGTGGGTTTGAACCGCCAGCCTTGTGGTTTGAAGTCCATTGCTGATCCTGCAGCAACATACCAGGAGTACATAGATAGGGTTATTGTTGTTGGTATTGTTTAGTGCTGTCGAGTCAGATCTTACTCATTGTGACCCTGTATACAGTTTCCAAGGAGCAGCTGGTGGGTTTGAACTGCCAACCTTGCGGTTCAAACTGACCTTGAGGTTGAGTGCTTATCCTATGGTGCTACACCAGATGCCTATAGATAGGTTGGAATCCCATAATGTATTTTCATATATGAGGGGGCTTCACAAAGTTCGTGGTAAAATCTCATGATCTTTTTTTGTTTTGTTTTTTACAGGCATATCTTGTTTTATTGTGTTCTATAGATAATTGTATTTTTTTTACAAACTGAAGGTTTGTGGCAACCCCGCATTTAGCATTTGGAAGGTAGATAGTTGAAACCCACCAGTCATTCCACAGGAGAAAGATGAGGCATACAGCTCACATAAAGATTTGTGTTTTTTTTAATAAAAGCTTTTATTGTGAATTGAGGGATAGTCCTCATGACAGAGCATCAACCAGTCACATCCTGTTTCATTGCAATGATTATGATCCC